CTGCACGTATGTGTGTGCGTGGGCTGCCAAATAGTGTGTCTGTTTGATATAATGGCTGTTTTCACGGCACTCTTGTCTGTTCTAAAATGACATGCGATAAACAGTTTATTGATCCTGTGATAATCATCGGTTTATTGATGTAAACCAGCTTTATGGATCATTTTAGTGTGACTGCCTTTGGAATATATGAACATGAAAATTATAGGGTTTCATTGTGTTTACCAGTGCGTACAGAACATGCATTTAGATTATACATATACAGACACTTGCAGACACAATGTGCACATGTGCACACACTTATGGGACATAATACCATAATAGTTAACCTGTTGCCAGGTTTCATGAGTAATCCAAAATGACAACAGTAAACACGACTCGTTCTGTCTTCTTTAATAACATCAATAAACAGTTTCCTCATCTTTTTACATTTTCCTTGTAATAGATCCTGTTGCAAATTAAAGAAAAAAATCGCATTTAGTTGAAAAAAGACAAATAATCTGAAATACAAACATATAAACAGATACCACATGTTTCTTGTAACCATGTTCTTATTATTTCTACATGAAAAATAAAAAAAAATCCACGTGAGTAATCAATTATATTTTTGCATCAAATTTGGAATTGTTGACGCACCACTAATCTACTTTTGTAGTCTTCACTTTTTGTACTTGTATATGTAGGTCTATAACTTTAATAAAGGGTGTCACAGTAAATATATATGTGAGAAAATAAAACGTTTGGATGACAAGAAAATTAATTTAAAAAAATGTATGAGAAAGTCTTTATACCAGGCATATAGAGATAATTTCGAAGTTAAAGTGATGGAAATGGGGAGTCATAGTTTATGGATCATGGTTGAAAGTTAAATTTGAGTCTTTTTAATTAGATTAAGTTACAAAACCAAACACGCATAAAAAATTGGTCTCTCATCTTCATGTACTGAACACAGACACACAAGTATAATGATGTGCAACATAGGCAAATTGTGAGTCTTTAAGTGAACACCCTAATATGCTACTGTTGCTAATTTATTTTTTCAGATAAAATCTCTAAACATATCATTACTGAAATATTCACATTCACTAAACAGGAAGTACAGAATCCTCCACAACAGCCATTTAGTCAAATGTACATCCTGTCTTTTGGTTTATACCCAAACTTCTGCTAAACTAATGACATTAGCCATTAGCCCTGTGTATAAATTGGCAGACGCTAGCATACTAATGAGCACAGCCAGGTCCTGAACATGGAAATCATTATACAGTTCACACTCTCTAACCACCAGCATCAACCCCACAGAGTTATTGGAAAGTGTTATTGAAAACTTTTGTAAAGGCACTGTTTTCTTGCAGTTTTTTGGAGGAAAAAAAGATAATGATCTCAGAGTAAAAACAGCCAGCTCTATTATTATTAGGAAGGCATGATAAAATAAGGAAGCAGCAGTCTTCCCTGGGACATAAAAATAAATGCATAATCACATGAGAGAACATCTAGTGTGACAGTGGGGGTCTCCATGAAGATTTTTTTTTAACTTTATTACATGAACGATTTTCATTAAGGATTCATCCTTTACATGTTTTCCATGCATCACCACTACCGGATGTCACATCACAGTTTACAGGCCGATGTGTTACGGTTCAACACAATCATTACGCTAATGATGTACCGCTCTATTAACAAATTAAAGCGTAGCCTCCTTTCAAGGGCTGTTTTCCCATTTTTCTCATATTTAATTAAAAAGTGCTGCAGAAATTGCAGAGTGCTGTGGTGGAGATGAGGTTAAGTGCTGAGGGCAGTCATTGGACTTCTTCTTGCATGACAGTTATAAACACTTCAAGCAAGTGCAAAGGGAAATGTATGTTAACTCAATGGGATGATCAATGTCTGTGTGAATATGCACAAGTGTGGGTATTTGAAGACGATACGCACATGGAATCGATGGAGGCGACTTGGCTTGAGTGAACAGCGTCAGATACACTCCTTGTGTGTCAATAGCCTGCCAATGGCCTAATAGTGATAAACAGAACACTATAAATGCCACGTTAATATAAAGTGTAATAAATTGTCACTCTAGTTCTAAACAGTAGGGACAGTGTTTTCCATTTTCTTCATTTCCTTCTTTGCTGGACTCTGGTGGATTTATTTCACCTTCTGTCACAACCTGCTTCTTTGCGTCATCTCTGGACTGAAATCTAGTTCCTCTCTAACGTAAACTGGTTTTCATTCAATTATTAATATTAGATGTTTTATTTATTTGAAAATAATATGTACAGCTCATGCAATAATAAAACTGAGAAGTAGGTATCTAAACAACTTTTGAAATGGCTACATCTATCATAGAACTTTTATCTTAGACATGAGACTCCGAACCAATGCTGCACAGCAGTTTTAATTAACACTTTTACTAATAGTACAAATATTTAAGTTAAATATGGTTACCAATTACCAATATCAATTTTGGAGTCTTCAGGCCAAAGTCTGACTTGTGTTAATGTGATGTTCACAGTCTCTGACTATTCCAAAGGAATACTCATTTCTCGTTTTCTCCCGACCTCTGCGGCATCTTCTAGTTTATTTAAGGGAACTCTCAAAATGTAAGCAGTTCTTTCAAAGGTAAGTTATGATCTCATCTTCTGAGTGTGCTTCTTTAAAACCTCACTACAAGATCTTGCACTACATAGGTCCAGCTGCAGTGATAAGAGTTCTGTCAGCTAAGCGCAGTGCGATGAAAAAATGACAAGGCTTCAAATGAGTCCAAAGAACTCCCACTGTGTGGTTGCCGTCTTTAATTAATCATCTTTTAAATTACTTGTAAGCACAGGGGGGAGTAAACAGTCACCCTCACGCTCAGTATTTGAACCATCTAAGCCTCTAAAGCTTGGATATAGTCCTCACAACCACAGGGTAACTTATGGTGTCTCGCTTCAGCGGTTTGGCATAATGCTGGAGGATGCAGGGCGTGTGGATGAAAATAATCACAAATCCTGGCTCCTCACAGGAGAAGAAACCTCTGCAGCTACCTGAACATAGGCACAATAGCAGATATACAGCTACATGCCGAGACACGCACCAACACACAAGACTGCAGTGGGGAAAGTCGCTATTACTCAGGCTAAGACACATGGAGATGAGAGGACGATCCGGAGCTCCCTCTTTTACACAGATGCTGCTCAGTAATGGGATTTTTATCATACTTTTTGACATTTATTGATGAAAAATCAACATCAGGGGTTTGCTGTTGTTGGCTGCTCCTATGGGGGCTGCCCCTGGGGTCAGAGCAGCGGATCACCATCTGTATATTTAATGTAGTGCTGCTTTAAAAGAAAAACAAAATCTTGTCCTTATTAGCATTACAACTGGAACATTTAGCCCCTGGTGTGGAGTGATGAATACATATCTAAATTCATACTTTTTTATGATATTTGGGACTAAAATGAAGCCTAGAATGTTTTTTGTCTTTTGTAGAAGATTTATAGTATTGCAGGAGGTCACATGGAGGTAGGGTGGTTAGTACTTTTGCCCTACTGTATGAGGATCACCGTTCGTATGTTCTCCTGTGCGTTGGTTTCTCTGAGTTCTCAAGTTTCCTAAAACATGCAGGGTTATGCAAATTGTTTACTTTGATTTCACAATAGGTGTGAATCCAGATGTGAATGGTTTGTCTCATTCTTCGGCCCTGTGATGAGAGATGATTTGTTTAATTTTTAAAAGTTTGATTTTTGCTTATCTGTATTTTTATCCTTTTGTTTTGTTGATATACTGTCTAATATAAAAATAGTGTCAGTGTTGTTACTTTTTATTTGACTCAGAAAGATTACATAAATTCCATCCACATCAGTGGAAACATTGAGAGTGGTTATGGAAGGAATACATTTCTATACATCAGTGATCATCAGCAATCCACCCCAGCAAATCCAGCCAACAACTGCTTCAAAATGTTTTTAATATTAAATAATAATTAAAGAAAAGAAGAATTCTTGCATACTTCAATGCATTGTAGTGGCTAAAGGTGTAGAGTATAATATAATCCAACCCCCACTGTAGACAAGTGTTGTCACTACAACATATGTGCTGTACATTTCCCCTTCCATGACTTTTTTCGTTGTACCTAGGATTTACTGGGCGGCTTTCCACAGAGAAATTCGTTTTTCACATTCCTCCGTTTAGAAAAAGGCTGCTGAAATCCAGCAAACTGCAGAAAATTTGCCTGCCACAGTTAGTTGTTATGCCATATGGCTGTGTATAAATATTCAAGGAGGCCCTTTCATTTTTAATACATGTGTACGAAACTTTGCATAAATTGGATGATTCAGGGGAAGATAGATGTAGAAATGAAATGCATAAAAAAAAGAAAACATTAGGGTTTGTGAACTTTGCAGATACTTGTGGTATTTTACTCCAGACAGGAATCCACTGAGCTTCGCCGTCATTTTTTCAAGTCGAATTTATCATTCCGGAGGAAAAAAAGAAGTCATGCAAAGAAGAAGTCATGCATTGTGACCTAAACTATGAAAGTCTAGTGTATACTGCATTGCTTCACATTCCACTCACACTCTATTTGCTTTTTCCATGCCTGGGTTTAGAACTGAATTTAAATCAAGGTATTTTTCCCCAGCAGTCTAGCAGATTTTTGTGTGTGCTCGTACTTGCATGCATGTCCCCGTGTGAGTGTGTGTGAGTGTGTGTGTGTGTGTTTCAGTGTGACATAGACAATTGTGCACTGCATGAATCCTCTGGGCCTTTATCCATTTCCTTTGAATGTGTGCAGACCTGAGTCTACTCCCCTCACCGGCTCTTTCTGGCTGCGTAAATATTCCATGAGCTACTTCCCCTCATACTGTGGATTGACAAGCTTTCCTGACTTGAAAACTTTATCTCCACCAGTCCATTGCAAAAATACCAAGTAATTTCTATGTTACTGAGGCTTAAT